TGGTCAACTCAGCGTGTAATGTTAATATATAGAAGGTCGTGTAAAGATTTAAAATGTCATGTTTGACCTCTGACTCAGTATTTTTTTTTAACAAATTAATACATCTTCTATATCCACATAAATAAAAAATAATCAATCAATATGTCAGGTGGGTTAAAACGGATTTAAACAGAGCAAATAACAAACCCTGAACCCTAACCCTGCTCTTGTTTTTACTGCAGTCCAAACTTCTTAAAGTAGGTGGACGTTTGTTCGATGCAGTTTTGTTTTTTTAAATAACCCATTTTTCTTTAGTTAAATTCGTTAACAAAAACTCTGCTTCGGGTCTTGGAGCCACACAGCAAACGGAAAACCAAAATTGCCCTGAAATTCACATCATTAAAGGAAACACGATGCCTGAGGTCTTAATTATACTCCGTTGCGGACACGGACAGCTGGAGATCCGGCGGCCAAGAAGTCATTCCTGTTATGCTTCTTTGAAGTCCGCTGCCTGGGGCGTGGCATAGTTGTAATGTAAATTCTCCACAGATGATACTGCGCGGTCGCAAAAGTCAGGCAGACGGACCTCCTCCCTCACTCACTGTCTGAAGATGGATGCAATGAGAAGGAAATGAAGGCAAAAGGTCAACCAACTTGACAGACTCACTGCAGGTTTCTTGGTGGTTTAAGGTTCTCGGGCTGATAGTTCAAGAGATCTATGAGCTGAACAAACTGTCAGACGGCAATTATAGACATTGAAAGTTTCAAGGTGGAAAAAAGAGCAGATAAAGATGCAGGTGAATTTGAGTGTTTCTGACTGCTTTCTTGGTGATGTCACCTACGCTTAGGGTGGAGCCCATAAAGAAAGAAACAACAGGTCTAGCAGTGAATCTGAGTAATCTCACAGAGTTAAGACAACATTTGAATTCCCTACATTCAGTTCAGCATCCAGTGTGCTGGAACACATCACAGCTGTCATCATGTGAGAGGCGGGTCTATCACTGGGCTTACTCGTCTTTGCCGTGGTTTAGCTAAACCCAGGTACTGTCCACGTATCCAGCTGTGAAATGTGATTTGATAGATTCAGGTTTGCAGGAACATTTGACTCAAGTCGTCCACTCTTCATTCATTTGTATAAAGTTGAGGTATAAGCTACTTTAGACCGAACCGAAAGTCCTAAACACGAGACCGTTTCAGCAGCTGCTTGATTTATTTCTCTCCTCCAGTTGGATAAATCACCCAGACAGATTATAAGTTTGTGTCAGTTTGTTCTCTGTGATTCTTTAACTTTGTGTGAAAGCTGCAGAAACCCTGAGCATGAAAACGTGGGAAACTGTGAGTGTTTGTGTGTGCAGGCTCATGTTTCTTGGAGTGGTTCACGACCTACGTGCACAACGTCGTCACGGGAGAGTATCCAATCATCAGAGACCAGATCTTCAGGTAACAACGAGTCGCGCACACGTTAATGAGTGTTTTGTGTGTTTGAGCCTCTGTGAAGCTCAAAGCTGATTTTGCTCTGCAGGTATGTGCACGACAAAAGCTGCGTGGCAACCACCGGCGACATCACCATCTCCGTTTCTACCTCCTTCCTGCCAGAGCTTTCGTCCGTCCATCCTCCACACTTCTTCTTCACCTACCGCATCAGGTAACTTCCTCTCTGCTCGCCATGTCTCTCACCGCCTCTTTTCAGCGTTTTAATGACCCGGCATGTGTTTTCAGAATAGAAATGTCCAGCAGCGCCTCGCCTGAAGCTGCCTGTCAGCTCGACAGCCGCTACTGGAAAATCACCACCTCTGATGGCAACGTGGAGGAAGTCCAGGGTCCCGGCGTGGTCGGTACGCTGCCCGCATCACACCTGGGCTGCTCCACTGTGATTGGCTGAGACCAGCTGCTGAATGTGTGTGTTTGTGTGTGTATCTGTGCAGGGGAGTTCCCGGTCATGACGCCTGGAAAAGTACACGAGTACGCCAGCTGCACGACCTTCTCCACCTCGTCAGAGTACATGGAGGGTCACTACACCTTCCACAGACTTGGTAACTACCTCCACCTGTAACAGAAACGCCTCCCAGATGTTTTGCTGCTGTTCTCATATTTGTTTCTTTCATAGCCAGTAAAGAGGAAGTTTTCCACGTGGCCATACCTCGTTTTCACATGGTCTGCCCCCCCTTCAGAGAGCCTGTGGTCCGAACGGTAAGAGGTTCTGCAACGGTGTATTCATAAAGAACCGATAATCCAATAAAATGAACAAATAAATAAATCAAGTTACCAGAATTACTAGTTTCCTTACCTGGAGGGGGAAACAAGATTCCTAAATAACTTTGAATCTTGGAAACATTAATGAAGCCTCAATACTTGGCTGTTGTGATCGCTTCAGTTTCAGGTCCCAGAACAATTTTGATCTTCGGAGATCTGATAAAGTCCCCTGTACTCTGGAGGTTTGTTGCATCTTGCATCTCTCACTCTCTGCAGTCTGAGTTTAAAAATGTAAAAGCTGCAGGCTGAGCTGCTGGTGATGGAAAATCATTAGCTACACTGAGAGAGTCTGACTGTCCAGATTTTAGTTTGTTTGATTTTAGCTGCTGAGAGCAGCCCTGCTGCAGACAGCGGACATCAGGAGCTGACTTCAGGGCCAGTTTGAAGTGTTTCCGTCACACAGCTTCACCGGAGTTGGCTGGCTCGCCTTTTTTCAAAGAACTCAAGCCTAAAATTAATTTAAAGAGTTTACTAATTACACTGTTTACTACTTACAGTCGCTATCTTGCACAACTCACTGAGCTCAGCATACTGTTCACTGCTGAGGGGATGCCCTCTAGCGGCTTTTTAGTGAAACATGACTTCAGCGTAACATCTGTGTCAGTGTAAGTGACACTGTTAGGCTTTCTAAATATCTTGGTATGGTGTGATACCAGTATGGTGTCCAAGCGCACCATAAAGTACCTGCAGAGACCACCAAAATTAAACGCATAATGGCTGAAAAATGACCCAAAAATTCTCTGCAAACAGGTAAAAAACTGGTACAGACGTGCAGATCAGCCACCAACACCGTGTCTTGCTTCTGTATTGGAGGGTTAAAGTAGGCGTCGCCTCCTTTAATGATCTCATTGATCAGCTTCAGACTGTCCAGCCTTCAGCACTTGCTGCTCACGCTCTCTGTTGTCTCTTCTGTTTTGTTCCGGACGACATCTGATCCAAGCAGCAGAAGGCGTTGGCTAGCTACACGCCTCGCTTCGACGACCACGACGACGACGGCGAGTACTGCGACGGAGACGGCGACGACTTCGACGACCTTAGGGGAATCAACATGGCTGCCTTGGAGGGAGCATGGTGTCCTCGACACATCTGACCTCTGACCTCCCAACATCATAACATGCTGATGTCAGTTAATTGGGTCGATGAACATTAAAAGCTTCCGTATGGCCTTTGACTCGCAGCAGGGGATTATGGGACTGGTTGTACCAGTGAACCCACCAAGCAGAGCCATACAGGGACCGAGTCGCACCAACTTCCAGCTGCCAGTGAAACAAAATCAAAATGTGAAAGTGCAGTTTTATAGAAATGGTCTTTTTCTGTTGGGTGTTTAAGCTTTTGTCAGGACACTGTTTGATAAGTGAGGATGAGACGGGCTGGACGCCACTGGCGTTGGCCTTTTAAAGGAGCACCGTGGTGATCTGTGGCTCCCAAACAAACACAGCAGGGAACAAACTGACGCCAGTGGCTTCAGGTTCCAGTTTAGAATGAGGAAAATGCCGATTTGTGTCGACTACAAGACTTAAATCTGGAGGTTTTTTGTGAAATGGAAAAAATGTGGGTCTGTTACTTTTGTCCATAAGATTTTAGTTCTCAGAGGGATAATGCTTCTCCTTCTTTAAATGAGAAAAGCCGTGGTTTTTTTTGGGGGGGGGGTTTCCACGGCAGGAACTTAAGCCTAACTACTGATAGATTTTGTTTTTTTATGGCTTTCTAGCCAAAATTTAATGAAAGAGATTCTTTTCCAAAAAATATGGAGACTTCACAGTATCTGCAGGTGAAAAGATGTTATGCTGCCGTCTTAAAGTGTAATCTGAGAGACGCTGCAAGCAAATTTCAGTATGTGTGTGGTCATTTAATCCTAGCATGCAGTCATTTGGTGTAGAAAACACCAACCAGCCCAATGTGGCCTCATCGAAAGGATTTTTTTCATCCAACAAATCCATTCAACACCTACAAAGGTAGACAAGGAAAATCTGAAAACCTGAAATCAAATATTCCGAATTTTTCCTGTGTTAGTAAACAGCAGGTATATCGTTGGATTAGCGATGAGCAACCACTCAAATGTCTCACATGTCTGAAGCCTAAACTTTTAGGAATTATTTAAGGCTTTCATATGAGACACTTTTTTAATTTGAGAGAGGCGATTCAACATTAGCCCTCCCCCTAGTGGATAAACTGAGCAGTGTGTTATTAAAAAGGAAAGATCTCCACAGCCAAAGGTTTTATTGCATATTTTTATGGTTTCTGCTCCTTAAATCTGGTGCTTATCCTTTGTCATGTGCCAGCAAATCACACCTTCAGCCAGTATTAAAACCTGAGAGAGACACAATAAAGAAAGTAAATTAATACAATAATAAATACTTGCAGCTATAGATTGATATGTTACCTTTAAGATGAGTTGTAGTCATACGGCTTTAAGTTGGTGCAGTGAAAAAGAAAATCTGGGTTTATTGTGCTTTTTCCCCCCAAAAAAAAAAATTATTTCAAAATAATGTGTACACGCAATGGCAGGCAGAGTGTGATAAGAGAAGAGGACTTGGGTTTCTTTTATCTGGGGGTTAAAGTGTTGTATGCTTCACGCTGCTTTCTTAGACTTGAGTTGGTATCTTAAAGCAGGTCTCCTTCCTTTCTGTCCGGTGGAGGCGGGACAGTCAGCGGGTTTGTTTTTGTATGTTTGGATTAAATAAATCTCTTATACTGAGTCGCTTTACTTTTACACGCTCGCTTGAAGGTGATTTTCTCACACACTGTAAAAAGATTAACTCCAGAGCTTTAGTGAGACTTCACCAGCCTTTTAAAGATTGAGTTTATTTCAGATACCTGCCCTTTTCACAGCTTTTATAAAACAAATTGTTTCTGCTCCCTTAAAGTTGATTTTATTCTGATTGGCCAGTTCCTGGAAGCTCTTACACTTTTCCAGAGGAGCTTCACATGTACCACAGGCTGTCTTAGCCGCCAGTTTTTCCAATTGGCTGCACCTTACAAACAGGTTTGATCAGCAGGTAGGCGGGGTTCCTGTGTGCCTCACGTGATTTGCTCTCTGTGATGCCATCCAGATCCAAAAGTAGAAAAAAAAAAAGTGTTTTTGCACATACACTGACCTCTGTCAGGTAGCTCCTCTCTTCTCTAGACATTTTAGGATGGCTGATAAAATCATTCTTGTACTATAGTGGTAAATGCTGCTGACTAATGTTGCATTTCCTTTGGCTACTTCACAATAACCGTCCACTTCGTTTGTCAGCTTAATACTATTAATGTAAAACTGAAGCAGCACTAAGTGCTCAGTAAGTTAATGCAGTCACTACAGACAACAGCATGACTTTGAACCTTGTCTATGTTAACGGTAAGCTTATTTCCCGTTTACACATCCCCATGGAAACCAAGAAAACACAAAGCAGCAGGCCACGAGCGGTTCCTAGACCTAAACAAATAGTTTTTAATGGTGATCCATACATGAGTATTAAAAAAAATCAATTGCAGTGTCAAGACCAGTGACGCGTAAGACTCTAATTTGGGTTTCCGATGTGAATGTGTCACATCATTACTAAACCTTTCAATTCTGACCTTTTAAAAGCTGAAAATATTAGTTTTGAGTTCAGTTGTGTCCAAAAGTTTTGGCAGTGATGAGTTTAAACACGTTTGCCGTCTTCCCAGTGTAGTTTGGCAGCTAAATGGACACAAGTCAGATGAGAAATCGTGTTCAGAGACACAAACTGCTGTGAGATCACAGTGACCTCAAACATGCATTTAAATTAAAATCTTTAAGACCGCTGCATTAAACTGTGAATGAAACCGTGAATAATAAAGTTTAAACCAGCGGTTACATTCAGCTGAGCGTAATTAAACAAACTCAGTCTGTTAAAGAGTTGGATCCAGATGCTGATGATGTGAGCAGTCTTCACAAACGTCATCAAATTCATTTTCAAGCGGTGATTTGAAGCTCTTTTTACAGTCGAGCTTCAAACACCCGAATCTCCAAATTTAAGACACGAAGCTTCATTAAAGCAGACGAATCGTAAAAAAAAAAAGAAGCTTATTCGGACTCGGTGAAACAGATATTTGTTCTCTGCAGGTTAAAAATGTTCAGCGGAGTATCGCGTGCTTCTGTAGCTCCTCCTCCTTTTCAGTCTTCGTCATCTTCGTCCTGATCGTCGTCTTCCTCCGCCGCCGCCACCATCCCCAGACTTCTGCGTTTCTTTTCCCCTCTTGTCTCCTTCCTGTCCTCTCCCTCCTCCTCCTCCTCGTTGTCCTCCTCCTCCACTGCCCCTCCATCACCGCCATCCCCCTCCTCCTCGCGGGCGTTGCAGCGGCTGCAGTGTCTCCCGAAGCCTCCCAGGAAGTGCGACCTGAAGCAGCAGAAGGGGCAGGCGTAGCGGCCGGGCCGGTGGGCGGAGCTGATGTGCCGCTGCAGCCGGCTCGGCAAGAAGAAGCTGCGCTTGCAGTCCTTGCAGCTGTACGGCCGCTTGACGTCGTGGCAACGCACCACGTGACTGATGGCGAAACCTGCGGCGACACAGATGACAATAAAAACAAATCTATAGTTTTTGATGTTGGATTATTTTTAGTTATCTGCTTGCTTGTTTGGTTTGAAAAACAATTAGATAAAGATTTTTATTTTTTTAGTTTTGCTTGCTTAAAAAAAAAACCCCAAAAAAAAAACCAACCAAAAAGATACAATTACCAGGTATAAGCTGATTAAAATTCTTTTGTTGTTGCTGTTGTTATAAAATATAATAATTCGCATAAAATAAGTCAAAAAAGTCATATCTAATCTTTTTTAAAGTCCAAAAGAATACTACAGAAGTCAGCTTAAAGAGTAATTAAAATGTAAAGATTGTGTTTACATTTTCTGGCGTTTTATGTCTGCTTTCCTTCATTTCTGGGATTTTAACTCACATTTACAAATTTAAAGCAACAGCCCGATGTGGTATCTGTGCCATGCATACAAGCTTTAAGACGTAAATGTCACATTAAAAGGTCATTTTTGTAGTTACGGTAGTCTCTTCTAAATATATTTTAAAATGTTACCACCAGGGGGCAGTGTATCACCACAAAGTTTTATTGTCCCAGTTTGGTGCAGTCCTCCAGGTAACAGTCTGTTAAACGGCTACAAAACACAGAACGCTAAGTAGTACAGAAGTGTTACATTACACATACATGTAATAACTGCTTTCTGCCCCCTGCTGGTCATTACAAAGAATAGCAGGTGCAGGGATTCGTACCTGGGACCTCGAGTTCATTATCTTTTATCTGCATCAGTTTGATTTGAGCTGCGTGCGTGGGCGGGTACCTTTGAGTTTGGTCTTCCAGCCGCACATCAGGCACACAAAGCGGTTGGAGATGAAGCGCACCACTTTGGCCGTGGCCTCCATCTCCTCCTTCAGCAGCTCACCGCTCAGCCCGGCCACCGCTGCCTCCTCCTCTTCCACCCCCCCGCCACTCTGCATCTGGTTGGCTGTGGCAAGGTCACGTCTGATGGCCTGGTTGGCGTACGCTTTGGGAATGTTGTGCTTGCGCACCACGTGGCTGACACCCACAGCTTTCAGCTTGTTCTTCCAACCACAGATTAGGCAGCGGTACCTGGCGCCATCAAACAGTAGCACGCTTTTGTCATCATACTCGCATTTAACCGACTCCACCCCCTCTCCTTCCTCCTCTTCTTCACCCTCACTGCTCCTCTTTCTTTTCAGGACGTCCCTGCATCCTTCCTCCTCTTCCTCAGTCTTGATGCTCTTTATTTTAGATTCATCTTTCCCTCCTTCTCCTTCCTCCTCATTGCTCTTCTTTCTTTTGGCGTCACCTTTCCCTTCTTCTTCTTCTTCTTCCTCTTCCTCAGTCTTAATAGTTTGCTTTCTTTTGGTGGCATCTTTCATTTCTTCGTCCTCCTCGTCACCCTTCTCGCTCCCGTTGTCGCCTCCCTTGTCCCTTTCATCCATGCAGTGTTTGGTGATGATGTGCTTGTAGAGCTTGGTGAAGTCTCTGCTGGTGTAGAAGCAGTAGGAGCAGTGGAAGAGCCGGGCGCCGCTCTGGTACATCAGGATGTTCCCGAGGCGTCCCATCACCACACCGTCAAGGCAGGAGGGGTGGGATGCCGCAATGTGGGAGAGCTGATGGGCGTGGCTCTTGGAGAAATGGCCACAGTGGGGGCACTGGAGGTGAGCCGCGACACCCCCGCCTACTTCACCACGAGTCTGTATGATAACCGACATCCCTGCAAAGATAGTACAGAGCAGGTCAGGACCAGGTGAGCTCAGAAAACTGCCACTAAGATCAAGATAAAAAATTCTTAAAGCTAAATGTAGAGTGCGTTCTGGTGGACAAACTATGCAACACCAACAGTCATAACATGGTTGAACGGTGTTTCTCTTGTCTCTTCTATATTTTTGTTTTCATTTCTTTATTGCTTGTTATAAATAGATTGGGAAATAGCAAAATATCTGTCGGGCTCGATTTATCCAATTTCGAAATATTTGCTCAAAAAGTATATTTTATGTCTGCTTCAACCAGGAATACAAAACTTCAAAAACAGCCAATGTTAGACCTTTACCGAAACCAAATTGTGCACGTTACATGTAAAAATCTGTACTGTGTGCTCTGCTGTCACACAAGCAGCAGAAATGTGTGGGTTTTTTACTATAGTCCGGTTTAAAAATAGCAGCTCTAAATATATATAAAAAATAAATAAACAGATTCCATTAAAATAATCTAACACTTCAGGAAATCACAACCAGGTACTTTGGACGTCTCTTTACTTCCATCCCTCCACAGCCTGTAAACTTATCTTCATCAAATACATTCAACCTTTAAACGGATTCTTTTAATATTTAATCTTTTCCCCCATTAACAGTGATACAATTTCAACACTTAAGCACATTTCGGAGTGAGATTTGTCTCCAGAGTAAGTCACCTTATCCTGGTTCATCCCGGTTTATCCTGGGACTGGGATAACGGTAACCCTGCTCCTGCACGCTGTTCACATCAATGGGATAGAAGAGCGCAGCTAACAGGCTTGCCTGCACTAAAAACTACATATTTTAACCAGTTTTTCCACCCACCTGACTCCACCGCCGGCTGTGTTAGTTTGTAACAAAGTTCCTGAACCTGAAATAACAATAAAACCACTCAGGAGAAACATTTGAACCGGATTAAATCTCCATCTTTTAGGCTAACCGCCGGCCTGCTCAGCAGATTCTCTGCTACCGCCCTTTTCCGTGTTTTCCTCCAGCACAGCCAATCAACTCACTTCAGCCGTCCGCCACTGACCAATCACAAAATTCCCTTAACCAGGCTCTCGTCTAGCATTCAATTGTCGCGAGATCTCTGGGGTGTTTTATAATTGTCGGACATTCCTTCGTTTATAGAGGAAAAAAACATAAAATCTTCCGGCTCTGGTGAGACAAACTAGCCTACACTTTCAAGTGAACTAGATATAAATGAATAAAGATAATAGAAGAAACTGATACATAAAGTTTATTGAATATTATTTATAATCAGGCTGAAGCGTGTGCTCCTTAGTCTGTGATTAATAAGGCTGATCCTGTCTCCAGAAACCCACCACCTGCTGAGGAAGCAGAGCACTACATCTCTGTCATCCACTGCTTCGTCATCGCTCATAAAGGTATTCTTATTCTTTATTCTTCTTTACTCCCTTTCAGTTGTATTTTATTTTTCTTTGCTTGTTTTGTTTTGCTTGTTTTTTCTCTTCTCTTTTTTTAGGGGTGGGGGTGGGGAAACGTTACTGTTTACCCTCAACTTTCTCAAGATGTTTGTCCTAGATGAGCATCAATCTAGCTAAGTGTAAACAGCAGTAAATACTAATTATTGAATGTTGTTGTGCAGCACGCAGGACCGACAGCGCACAATGTGCTTGAAAGTAGCAGCTAAGAAAGGTGTAGTTTATGTCTATGAACAGTGAACACCTGTGTGCATCAGCGCACTTGTATTCAAAAGGTTTCTCCGTGTAACGGTCTGCTAGAGGGTGTAGAGAGCCATAGCCCCGTCTCCAAGGACATGAAGCAGGCATGGAGGAGATCCAGGCTCCAGACATCCAGAGGCCCCAGAGTGCAAGAGCCCAAGGTGGACCACCGGAGGGGCATCCGTGCCACCCTCCTGGGAAGAGCTGAGTAGAGCCCCAGACGAGGGGTCACCCAGTAGCCACGGAGCAGAAGCCAGAGGGGCTGCAGTGGCGTGCCTGCCGGCTCTGCTGGCAGCCAGCTGTGCCAGAGTGAACCGAGCCGCAGGCCCAGAGGCCCGAGGGACCCCTTTGCCCCGGAAGAGGCCTGACCGAGCAACAGGTGCCAGGCCCCGCTAAGTAGCCACCAGGAGTGAGCTGGTACATACCTGAGCGCCCAGCTCCGGACACCAAGAACCACCAACGCACCGACCCTTGAGGTCATCAGTCACCGGCAGGGAGTGTGGTGAGGGGAGATAGGCCTCCACACTTTGGAGGGCCTTGGAGTTCCCAGAGAGGTGGAGTCTAAGACCCGACCTGACATATAGACACAGACAAACAGGCACACATTGACACAATCATACATTCCCACCCTCATGCACACATATACAAATACTCAGCACGCACCCAACGTAAGGATAGACATAAATGGACATACACACAATCACACTCCCCAAACATACTCTATACCCCGGGTCCAGGTATCCACGCCCCCAGAGGGGGAAACGGCATCTAGACCCAGGAGATGTTACCCCTTTCCCCCGGGGTGGAGGCAAGCAGACCGCCCCAGGCTCCGCAGCAGCAGGGAGGCCCCGCATCCCAGGTCCCAATCGGATGGCCAACACCTTCTCCCAGCCCCCCCGCCCCGATGGCCAGCAGAGAACGGGGGTGTGTGAAGACCCCAAACCTCACTCATGTGTAGTGTTGCTGCATGTTGTTCTACAATGCATTTAAAACACGGGAGAGATTTAAAATTGAGAGGTGGGGTTGAAAGAATAATTATATGTTTTAAAATATAAGCAGCAATACATTGCAAATATATATATATATATAACACGTTAAACAATAAATTAAAACAAGGCAGATGACGCCAGACCGGGCTTTTATTTTGAAGTGAGTGGATCAAAGCTTTATCAAAGCAGAAATACTCATCTTAATGGGGAGGTTGAAGGTCACCTGTTGAGTGAGTGAGAGGGAGGAGTAATGGGAGAGTAATTTCAGGTTGAGTGAGGATTGGTTTGAGAGGAGGGAGAGAGGAGGAGAGAAGGCTTTTATTGTGGTAGAACGAGGGAGGGTAGACAGAGGGAGAGAGGGAGGTATCTGAGTTTGAACTTGTGTTTTCCTTTAGTCTTTGTCATCTCAGATTCACAAACGCAGACACACACATACACACAAATATACTGGGTGTCATATTGAGGGACGCTGGGCGAGTGAGGACAACATGCTCTGCTTAAAAGGTAAGAGAGAGAGAGAAAGAGAGAGAGAGAGAGAGAGAGGGCATGAAGTTATGAAATGTGGGTCATTTTTTTCTGTATCTGTCAACATTAACACACACACACACCGTTATCTTCATAACCTTTTTGCAGTGTGAGTGAGAAAGAGAGAATGTGTGTGTGTGTGTGTGTGTGTGTGTGTGTGTGTGTGTGTGTGTGTGTGTGTGTGTGTGTGTGTGTGTGTGTGTGTTGGAGCACTGAAGAAGGTTGAGCATGCTTTATTTTGAGCACAGAGAGAGAGAGAGAGAGAGAGATTAATGGAGGGAGTGAAGAGTTGACTAGATGCACTGTTTTCATGATTACAGCTGCAGGAGTCCTTTGTGCAACTGTTACTATGGTTACTGCTCCTAATAGCACCGCTAGTATTTCAACTACTACAAGTACTTCTGATACTGCAAGTACTGATGATGCTGGTTCATCCAAGTTTTGGGTCAGAGACGTGTGCAGTCTTGAGTCTGGCACGTGTGTGTGTGTAAGTCTTTAATGACTGTCGGCCTGTCGGGGCAGGCTGAAGCATCGCATTGAGCCTCCATAACACAGCTGTCCTTCTCCTGCAGCTTCAGACGTGGCTGTGGAGCTTTCCTTAATGAAATCCTGCAAGCTGCACTTCCTCAAGCAAACAAAAACAAAAAGAGCACACATAAAATTTGCTAGAATGTTTATCGACTCATGATGTTTCAGTTTTAGCTACAAAACAAATTAGCAGTTAATGTTTAAATGTTTCACCCATGATCTTATTGTCCCTCTTTTTAAGATTGTTTGCTTTCATCTGTGGCCTCATTCTGTATCATTATAAGCTACATTTGCATATTAGAGCTCAATTTCGTTTGTATTTGTACTCATGATGCATCTTGAAGCAAGTCTTGCAGTATTTAGTATTCGTATTAGATCGTATTTACATGTTTTGCAAGCTCAATATATTAATCATACCTGTGTGAAGTGGTTAAAAAATAGTAAGAGTTAGAAGCACAAAATATAACAACTGAATGCGCCAGGACAAGATCGCATCAGTTATTTTTGTCCCATCATCCGTCAGAGTAAACACTTTCACCCTCGGGAGAAATTCCCCTGTCAAGTACCTGACATTCACTTCAAAAACACAACTGAGCTGCCAGGACACAGACGATGGATGACGTAGGAAAAAAGCTAGGGGAGAGGAACTGAAGATTGATGGGACCCTTCTCACTTTCTCTTCTTCTCTTTTTTTTGTTGGCCAGGTGAATCCCTGAGTCAATCAAGCGTTTGATCAGGGAGACCTCCAGGCAGAAAACGAATGAATATTATCATTGCTTTTATATGAAGCACGGATACCTTTAAAAATTGGTTAAAAACTCTTGTTTTTGTTTTAGAACTGATTTCATAATTAAACAATAAACATTTTTAACTTTCTTTCTGTCTGTGGTCCTCACCTCCCTGTGACTCATACACCTCAAAGGAACACCTCACAGTTTTACCAACAAAATACCATCAGCCTCCCAAACTGACTGAAAACAGAGACATTCATTATTCTGCTTTTCTTTGTGAATATTTCTTCATTATGTTTATGTTTTGTTTTGTCACTTTGGACACTTCTCCACCTCCACCAGCTGGAACCTGGGATGGATCCAACCTCTGAATGTACCAGCACAAATCAAGGCCTTTCAGACCAGGGGACATCTTCCAGTCTTCTCTTGTTCAAGTTCGGTGAATCCACATGAACCATAGCCTCAGTTTTCTATTCTTAGCTGACATCAGTGGCACTCGGTGTGGTCTTCTGCTGCTGTAACCAATCTGCTTAAATGTTTGATGCGCTTTGCATTCAGCGATGCTCTTCTGCATATGTAGTTGTGATAAGTGGTTTTGAGTTGCTGTTGCCTTCCTATCAGCTCAAAGCTGTCTCTCCAATCTTCTGTGAACCGCTGCTCACAGGATATTTTCAACTTTTCAGACCATTCTCTGTAAATTCTAAAAACCATGGCATGTTCAAAGGCGCTTAGATCACCTTTCATCACCAATGTGGTGCTCGGCTTAAAATTCAGCAGGTCGTCTTAAACATGCCTAAAGGCAATGAATTGCTGCCATGTGACTTGCTGAATAGATTTTTGTGTTAATAAACAGATGAACAGCAGCCAGTAGTGCATTTATGCTATGTGTGAATCTAAAATTCCAGTCAAGCACTGACTATCAGCGTTTGAATTTTCCCTTTATGGTAATATAAAGTTTGGTTTGTTTCTTTTCTTGGGTAATCTAAGATATTGTTCAAGTGGTTTTAACACAGGTCCTTCTTCAGGACTTCCTGGTTGAAGGTTTGTGTGCACAAATGAGGCAGTGTGGTTTATGAGAACACTATAAACCACACTGGTTTGTGGTTCCCCTTAATGTGCTGCAACTGCTGACTGTCCCCTTTCTTCTTAACATTTTATTTAGCAGGATCCAGTTCTGGTAGTGGATACCTGACTGAGGCATTTATTTACTTTCAGTATGGAGGTAATGGAATACAGATCATGTTGCATGTAGCTGAGGGTCGTGTTGGAGGGTCAGCTACATGCAACAGCAAAACCAAGCCGAGGTGCAATAACACACAATGAAAAAGCAAGATGACAAAATAAAATCTAGTAGAGATTTGGTGCACATGACACTAATGGCAGTCTCTATAGTTCAAGCTCCACATCATTATGTCCATTCTGCGTATTTGCATGCTGAATCAAGATAAGAAGTGTTGGTTCTGAAGTACATTAATTGGTCAATGAATCCAAAGAGGATTTGCTGCTGTCAATGCCGTCATTTTGTGGCTGTAATAAACGTTATCTGGCTCAGCGAGTTTCTATAACTGCTAACTGTAGCTATAGAAGTAGGATTTGGTGCATTTGTTGCGGTTGACAGGTGTGTATTAACCCACATCGTGTGGTGTGCAGGTGAAGTTTAACTAAGCTGTGAAGGATGTTAACCTTCTGTTTAAGATCTAAATTTAGAGATACCCAGTTTAACACAGTAACGCATTACTGAGCAACATGTGTTGTGAGTGTGGTGATAAATACCTGTCCCACACCGGCCATCTGCAGACCTGGATAATCCCTGTTAGTAGATTAGAGTTAGAGAGAGGAGAGGAAAGAAAGCAGCACTATGTCAACACCTCTGAAGAAAAATCACATTTACTGTTGGACTGTAATCATTTCTGGATTCACATCGGCCGTGGGAGACTTTTTGGTTTGTGGTTTGGAGGTCTGAGGTTTTTATTGTGAAGGAATAAGAAGAAGTTGGACAGAGCTCCTAAAGGTTTTAACTGCGTTCATTCCAGGGTCACACGAAGGTTTTCTTTTTTTTTTTTACTGTGAAATGTTGGGATTGTTTGTTGTAAGAAATGGACATTTGCACATGTGGACATGAGGATCCGGAGATCTTACTTATAAACTTATAACTTATAAACGACTGAGCACATTTTGGACTTTGTTTTAGGGCATTTTTTTAAAATTATTATTTTTTATCAACCTTTTGTAATAATACAAATTTGCATAGTTGTTCTGAACCCAAATGTGCTATTTGTGAAGATATAGCATTTTAAGACTTTTATTGTGAAATGCTCAAGGCTCGTTTTGTGAATAACTGGAAAATATGTGCGTCCAATGACATTCATTTTTCTCTTCAACTAAAAAAGGCAAAAATTATTTTTAATGCTTATTTTGCAGAATCAAACTCTTTTATAAGGCAGGGCTAACTAAATTTGGAGGAATTAGGACCTTTTCTGGAATTATTGATCCTCTTTGGACATTTATTGTGAAGGACCTGGATGATACAAATCTCTTTATGAGTTTGAATAACAAGGGGTTGAAAACTGACTCCAAGAGAAGACTTACTGCGAAAAGATGATAATACTATTGTAGTTTAGTCGTGGTGAGTCACCTGTAATCTGTCAGCCCATCAAACTCCTAATCACAGCTCGAGAAACAATGATTTCATATGTGGAATGCCTGGGTGGGGAGGGGGCGGGGCCTGGTGTGACGTCGCATTGTTGGAATTCTGGTCCTGATGAAGAGCGAGATGAGCTTCTTCCACGCAAGATGATTTCCTTGCAACCAAAAACAGAGGGCAGCCTGCGCCGGCGCCTGCTCAGAGCTAAAATCTACCAGCACCATGATGCCATCTATGGGTTAAATGCAGGTGGCGTGGGACAGCTTGCATCAGCCTCAAGTGAAAAAAAGCCCCTCCCAGCTCACCTGCAGTATCAAGGAAACAGTCCCTGGTTCCGCCCGCAGCAACTCCCACCACGCTCCCATATCAACCCTTCTTTCACCCCAGAGGTTCGTGGGAAACTGTTCCTTACTCCAGAGGCCTGCGGTAAACCCCATCCACAGTCTCTGCCGCTTCAGCTGCAGCGCCCTAACTGCCCAGTTCTCACCCAGCGACGCAGAACTAGTTCCTGCCCCCCAACCCCAGAGCCCCGTCCCGGTTACACCATGCCTGTCCCCTTTCATCTTAGAACTACACCCCCATTCAAGGAGCCAGAGCCGCCACCACAATATCGCTACAGGCCCAGCAGGAAGTGCAAGACAAGCTTCTTGTGCTTTAGACGTCGCAAAGGGAGAATGTCTGGGAAGGAAGCAACCCAAACTACACCCCTTCTACACAAAGGTACTACCAAGAAATTTGGGTAATCAGAATACTGCTACTAGTACTTGGTATTACACTGCTAGAAAGATACTATCCAAGCTGGGAATCCTGAAATGGTGCTTTTGGTTTTGAGTTGTGCAACTGGACCATTTTGGTCCTCAAAGATTTCAGATGATAGTCAAATAGACACATGTATTAGGGTTTATGTGGTACTCAATCATATCAGGCAGCATAACACACTCCGAATTACCTCCTTCTTTGAGACCGTTAATTAACCAACCAGGTCTGGGTTATCCCAGTTTGGTCCAGGGTATCCTATAGCTTAGTTCAGTTTTGTTCCCACAGATCCCAGTCAGCCTGAATTGACTTTTAAAAGTCCCAAATACACTGTGACACTGTGGCAAATTGGAACACTTACTTTTTTGATATTATAAATGGTACCATTTGTTATCCTGGATGATCTATTCGAGGTTGCATAATCAAAGGTTTTGCTTTTATTCAGCCCAGAATAGTGCTAAATCGTGGGACTTGAATGGTTACTACCACTCTAGCTCTTTCTAGTTTGGTCCCAAATAATCTCAGTTTTCGTGATGTTCCTGATGTTTGACCTCCTGAATATTCTCAACTACTCTTATTTGACCATTTCCGTTCTGTGAGTTATGCTTGTCTGGCTCTCTATGATCTTCAATCTGGCACAAAATTCAAATTTTATTTGAGCCTAAATCTAGTTGAAATGTACTTTTGTTTGATCTCACCTGGAAGGACTGCATTTCTATGCATGTAAAATGTCCTATAAATTGTGTTAAGCCCTGAATGCTGCTAGCTAGCCTTGCTTAGCTCACTTCGGTCTCCAAGATTCCAGCTTGAGGTCCTGAATTATCCCATTTATTATGGTCTGGCTTTATTTGGCCCTGAAAAGCTCGGTTTGATATTCTAAATGGTCCTAGCTAAGTTTTGTAACAAATAATAGTAACTCACCTAGTTTGGCGTTATAAAGCCCTGGATGTTCTCACCTGTCGTGTTTTGGTTTGATATAGTCTTAAATTGGAGTATCCAAAAAGTTGATTCTGGTCATCTGGACGTAGCGTTTTGTGGGAGAAATGTTTCGTCACTCATACAAGTGACTTCTTCAGTCTCAGCTGACTGCAGGTTTCCCCAATCTTATAAACAGTACATTTGCATAATGACTGAAACCAGCCCACTGAAGGAACAATGGGCTGGGAGGTCAATTCCTTAATCATAATTATGCAAATTCTCATGACCATTGATCAACAACCACTGATCAATGGCCATGAGTACCATTCACAGAGAGTTGGGGAATGGCTGCAATCACAGCATTGTAAGATGGTGAAAGATGGACACTTAGGCCCCCTCCTCAATTCAGAGATGGTCTTTGATCATCTCTGGACCATTCAGTGGTCTTTGATCAGTGGGTTTTGGTCAGTGGTTGTTGATCAATGGTCATGAGAATTTGCATAATTATGATTAAGGAATTGACCTCCCAGCCCATTGTTCCTTTAGTGGGCTGGTTTCAGTCATTATGCAAATGTACTGTTTATAAGTTTGGGGAAACCTGCAGTCAGCTGAGACTGAAGAAGTCACTTGGATGAGGGACGAAACGTTTCTCCCACAAAACGCTACGTCCAGATGAACAGAATCAACTTTTTGGAGATTTACTTTCCTGGATGATTGAGCATGGATCAAGACGTGAAATTGGAGTAGTTACTTTGTTTTGGTTTATTTGGTTCTTTGATATTATGAATGTTTTTTAGCCACTAGTCTGGTCCCAAATTATCTAAGTTTGTCTGACATAACTCTTTGAGGTCCTGAATGTCTTCAGCTATTCTTGTTTATCCATTTCAATATAGAAAGATGGCTTTATCTGGCTCTCTTTGGTTCTAAATCTCGCACAAATTTTAATGTGTTTCTTCTCATCAGGGCAGACTAGGATCCACTTAAACTAAATTCAGTTTGCTCCTGGATGACTTGGGAAGAGATTTCTCACGGCAGATATTCATAATTAGTGGTATCAGTAAAATTAAAGTGTGATACAATAAAATCTTCCAGATTAGCTCGTCCCAGTTTGGTTCAGTCTTTGCCTCACAGTTTCTCCATTTTTAAATGAGAACATTAGAGCAGCAACTCAGTGCCTGCACGTCTCCTGTGGCAGAGTAAACACACACTTTCACACACACTGTGTGACTGTCTGATCAATAATGCATCACAGCACCAGTCAGCTATTATTCTCTGATAATATGCAGAAGAAAATCACACCAGCTCTCCATATTCTTGGTTAATTATCTCCCCTGTGTGCATAATCTTCTTCATGTGTACGTGTGTGTGTGTGTGTGCAAGGATTAGCTGCCGCTCCACGCATTGGCCTAAAAGCTAATTCCACGAATAACAGATAATGAACAGGCTTTTTAGCTGCAACAGCTGCTACCTGTTAGCTTCCTAACATCTACCTTCAGTATCCCGCCCTCATGTTGCCTTTGTGGTGACGTCTCAGCGTTTATAATGTTAAAACAAAGAAAACTGAGCATCAATCAGTCAGTGGTACGTGACTCTGTCCTCATCCTTCCTCTTTCCTGACTGGACAGCTGACAGAGTTCAGAGTTTAACAGATTCCGACTATATATAAGACTATGACATAATGATAGTGTGTCCTACTTACTGTCTAATTAATGAAACTAATTAAAACAGTGAGAAGGTGAAGACAGACAGACAGGCTGTCAGCCATGAAGACGGTAATTAGCTGCTCCACTGGCCCACATAGTCGGCACAGTTACAGACTGGAACTGTCCCAGTTGGTGATGATGAAGGTGACTGTCAACTCTATCAGCCATGGCCAGTGTTACCACAAATACTTAGGGTTGCACACGTTTTTACTGTGGAGTTCTGCTGTTGGAATATGTGCAGAATATAGTCTTGCTGAAAAGCAAGATTTTCCCTAAAAAAAAAGAAAAAAGAAAAAAACAATTCCACAAAATTTGACAAAATGCCAACATTTTGTCACGAAAACTATGAAACTGACATTAGCCAGTGTCTAGGCCATAAGGAATGACAGTTAAAGAATGATGTTCTTGTTGAAATAAGCAATGCTTTACCTGAAAAAGACACCATCTTCATGGCAATATATGGTATGTAGCCCAAAACCTGTGGATATTTATTAAGGATTAATAAAACCTTCAGGAGTGTACAAGTTACCCCTGCTATGTCCACTAAACACATCTACTAAGACAAGTAGGCATTTTTAACAATATGTTACAAATTTTAAAAAACAAGTCTCCATGATGTCATGGTTCTCAGTCAGAAAAGTGTGGTGGGGCGATTCAAGGCTGGGAATGGCTTCTGCACTAAATGGTGGAGTTATTTTGGGGTCTGGTTCATAATCGAGGCCAGGAAGGAGTAATAGACTACAGATGGATTGATGCAGCAGTGATGCAGATGTTTTTACAGTCTATTGGGGTGACGAGAGAGCTGAGTATGAAAGCGAAGCTCTAGAGTTACTACATCTACCTTCCCATCCCCACCTATGGCTATGAACTGTGGTCAGTGACCAAAGGAATGGGATCACAGATATAAGCAAGGAAATTATTTCCTTCTCAGGCTGTATGGGCTTTCTGCTAGAAATAGGATGAGGAGCTTGGTCATCCCAGAGAGATTTAGTGTCTCTTGTAAAGCTAGCTCAGAATACCGTGCCGTCACTCCAGAAGACCTGGATGGCAGGCTGGTTAGAAGGAGATCTGGGCTTTTCTACATAGACTGTTGCCCCACATTCAGAAAAGCACCACAAGACGGATGGATGGATGGATGGATGGATGGATGGATGGATGGATGGATGGATGGATGGATGGATTGATGGATGGATGGATGAATAAGAAAATTGTATTCTGCTGTATTTATATCATTCTTTTGAAAGGTTATTGTTAAAAATATATACAGATCTGACTGTAAAAACATGAAATATGCACCACCTGCATCTATTCAAATACTGGATGCGGTTATCTCTTTGTGCATTAGCACCTGTTATACCCTGAAGGTTTTTTGGTGTTTTTGTTTTTTGTTTTTTTTTTGGCATTTTTCCTCATTTTATCCCTCAGATGCTGATGTCAAAGCTGATGTCCACACTTTGACAGCATGTCCTCACTCTCTTTGGACCTCACAAAGATAGAAACATGAGAACACAGAGAATAAAAGATGAACAGGGATACATCAGAGGCGCGGACACACTTTGAATTCTGTTTCTTCATCTCTCTTCATCTACAAAGCATCATGTTTCATGTGTCGTTGTGATAATGCGGTATTTGCGGGTAACCTTCATCACCTGGCGACACACATGAAGGACACACACGTGTACTGGCTTCCTGCCAACGGTGTGTGTGTGTGTGGAGAAAAGAAAAGAAGAAAGAGGGGGGAGCGAGTGACATAAAAAGAGAATAAGAGAGAGAGGAGTGGGAGGAGAGTAGCATTGCAGCGAGTCGAGCTGCATTACTGCTGCTGCTCGCCCGCTCTCTTTCTGTTTGCTGCAGCCTCAGGAGTGTGTGTGTCGGTGTGTGTGTCTAAACGAGTGTGTGGCGTCGTTATGGTTCTGATCGGAACGGCAATCAAATCTGTCCTCAGATATCTCAGTAAGACCAGAGGTGAGTGCCGCTGTATTGGCGAGGGATTGATTTACCTTTGAGCTGTACAGGTAGAGTGAGTTATAGCTCTCTAAAGATGACCTCATAGATACCACCCCCTGATTGGCTCTCAGGTGCATGTAAAAATCATGTCAAACGTAGTTTAGATCAGCAGTTTAATGGGCATTTGAAATGTGAGTTTGTATTACCTGTAACTATAGTCTAAAACATTAGAGACCCTATTCAAGGTCTCCAGGACTGTCTTTAAATGCCTTGTAATAATCTTACTGACTTCAAGAACCCAATTTAGGGATCATTTAAAGACTTTTTTGGCATTTGTGTTCTCAAGGGGTCCTGGAATCTCCACAAGGACCCTTAGGATGTCTTCTCAAGGTTTTAACCCTTTAACCAGTAACCCCCAGAAACTCTTCAAGAACAATATAGGCTTATTTAAAGGCTTTTGTCAGGACTTGTGGACCCCTGGAATCTCCACAAGGACTCTCGGAAAAGTTATTCAGAGCTTTATAACCTCGTAGTGACCTCTAGAATGCCCTCAAGAACAATTTAAATCTCTTTACAGACCTGTGTTATTTCTCAATGACAATTGGAAAAAATAATTAAGCAACCATAGTATCTTCTTGATGATCAGTGTGGACATTTATTATGTCCTCAACATACAAGAGCAGCTTGAATCACTGGAACATTTGCAATGACCCACTGAATCTGCCACAGATGTCTACTGCCTGGTCAAGGACCACTACCTACCAAGAACTTCTGGGACCCAATTAAGAACTACCAAGCTTCTTCAGGTTCATATCAAGGACCAGCAGAAGCACCTCAAGAATCAGGATGGTCTCTTTATCATTCTCCTTGGTGGTTCCTGTAATTCTCTTATGGCTTCATCAAGGGCCTCCTTCTAACATAAAGAACCTCCTCAAGAACCTGCCACAGCACTCCCTAAATCTTCTCAAACACCTGTGGTCCCTTCTTAAAAACTGTCACAACTTGTCAGACCTCCTTGAGGATTACTTGGACCCCGTAAAGACTGTTTAAGCCTTCCTAGAAGAATTCCATCTTCTTTTTCAGAGCCAGTGAAAACCCCGCAAGCCTTATATCGAATCTCTAATGTTTTAGAACTTCAAGCACCACTGATGCTTCTCGAAAACCCAAAATACCTTCTGACACTTCTGGAACTGTCTAAAGTATTTATCGGACCACTGCCAATCACTGAAGTGTATTTTCATATTTCAGCCTCTGCATGCTTGTTCTAAAGAACCCACCAAAACACACAAAATCTCAAGGACCATATTTACATCTTAAATAATCTTTCATATTTCTCAAGGACTTTGGCATTCCTTCAAGGATCTCAGGAGCTTCCTGCATCGCCATTTCAGTCCCCGTAATGTTTGTTTCCATTGTTTGGTTTAAACCTCTAAGGCTGTGTTCAGACGAAAAAATAAAATAACCTTTTCTTGATTAAAATGTAATGGTGTTTATTTACTTGTCTTTTGAATGACAACAAAAAATATGACAACAGAACATAAACAATCGGCCATCACTCATCAGTGATGACTTGGTTCATGCGGTTAAAGAGAGATGTGGTTGATTAATGGGAACAAATTATCTTTTCTCTCTTGTTTTTTGAATATTATTAGGATGAGATGAATGACTAAAACAAAACAAAAAATGCTGTCAGTGCAGAAAAACAAAATCATTCATAAGTTATTGTAAGAAATTCCTATTTTGTATTATAAGAGGTGTTTTTGGTCCTGACATACATTGCAGAATGCAGAAGGCTGAGACTCAAGCTCCACATCTGTCCATACATCTGTCCACTGAATACCACAGACAGTCAATCTGCAACTCTTTCACAATAAAAGCCCTGTGATGTGGAGGTCACCTTGAATAGTGCTGAGTGCAGCAGCTCTCATCATCACTGCTCCTCTGAGTGTGAAAAGATTTGCTGAAACAAGATTAAAATCCAGAAAGTAGCCTCATTCTCCCTCTCTCTCTCTCTGTCTTTGTTTGTGCTGCAGGGGACGGGGACAGTAAGTGGTCTGTTCACTACACTACCCAGAAGCCTCAGCAGGGTCTGCGCTTCATCCCTGGCAAAAGGCGATCAGGCAGTGCTGATGACCTGCGAGGTGAGAGTGGTACTTTAGTGTTTCATCAGTTAACCTTACAAAAATGTGAGATTAACTGGATCTGTGGGGAAACACATTTAGAGTAATGCTAAGAGACTTGAGAAAGTCTCTAGATGAAAATAAGTAGCCACACTTTAAATCCTTCCCTGATTTCTGGTCCTGTCTCACTCTAATGGAACCATACTTTCCAAAAGGAACGCCATGTTATCTTCAATAAGACTTAAAAGTAGCTATTGAGACCATAAACCAATGAAAAAAAATGTTTACTGACATCAAGAATTACCAGCTCTGGTTACAGAGAGAGGGAGAGAACCTTCATTAACTCAAATATTTAGAGAGCCTGGATTAAATTAGGAAGAAGAAGTGAACAGACAGGGTGCAGCTTTGAACCTGAGTCCAGAACAGCAATCAGACTGTTTTGTGAACTGAGACGTTCACTTAAAGAAGTCTGTGTATAAACTCGATCAATAATACCTGAGTCCCATGAGGAGAAACTGCAATGCGGCTGCGGTAGAAATGACTGAAAACACTAAAACCACTGCTCCACATTGTAGAAGCATCTCTGAAGTGGCTCTGCAATCCAAGTTAATTATAAGTCCTTTCAAGCCGCACAGAGCAGATGAGGAGGGCAGGAAGTCGGACATATGAATGACATGGAGCATCTGGTCAGGCTAAATGACGTCTGCTTCAGAAAACATTCACAGCGTGAGTTAATGGATTGTATCTGTATCCATTCTTGGATGTAGACCCAGGTGGAAAAGATTTTTGATCAATAAGTAGATTATAAGTATTTAAACAAATTGAAAATATTTAAGTTAAATTTTTACAGTAAATTAATGAATAAATAATAAATGTGTTTTTCCCTATTTGTTGTCTTCCTTATGTCATATTATATATTGTGTAAAATAATTAAAAAAGAAAATTGAAAATTATTTTGGGTCAAGTTCAAGAAGTGTGTGAACCCCCAGAGCCTCAGAAGTCTGTTACACACAAACCTCGAGTCCTAAGTGTGTGTGTGTCCTGTAGGATTAGCATTGGCTGACAGATGCCAGCAGACAGTGACCTTATGACCTGACACACTCACAGAATTGCTGCTGAAAGAATACGTACTCTTCTCCACTCTTGATATTGTTCTTTATGGGCTGAAGGTGGAAAACTCACAGTCTTCCTCACTGCAGTGGCAGATCACTAACTGTTTATAACACTGTCATGTCGCTAAGGCTAACATTGTTTGGGTGTTTACACCAACAAGTCTGCCAGGAAAGACTGCAAAAGCAGCTGCCTGTTCAAAGAGATCCTCATCATTTGCTCTTTAAATGTTTATGTCTCTGAAATCTGCAGTATATTCTCAATCAGCCATCAGTCCTGATAAACAGCCTCCTGTCTGTTTTTATAGCTGCTGAGCAATAAAGGCCTTTTACACTGTGTTTGATTCCATAAATTTTCAATGAAGTACTTAAGCTTTATAAATGATCAGTTTCCTTCGCTTGAGGCCATAAATCCTGGTTCTTTGATGCTTATCAGAGAAGTAATTAAGCTTAGAGGTGACAGCAGCCTGTGAGCAGACTGCAGAGTGCTGCAGGGGTCTGCATGCAGCACGCTCTGCAGCTTCGCAGCAGCTGCAGTGCCACATGTCACTGTGAGAAAGCATAAATGACGAAGGCTGAGCTCTCCTGCTGATCTCAGCTGATCACTGCAGCAAAGCTCACACAGTCCACAATCATTCTCATGTACTCAACTCACTATTTTCTATCATCATGGTGTGTTTGTAGCATGTAATGGGCTGACTCAGCATGGCTGCAGCATCCCAAGTGGTTCTCAGCCCCACCCCCCCAGCCCCACCCTTCCTCCCTTCTCCAGCATCAACCAATCAGACGGAACCACACGACGAGGGTGGAGGGACAAAAGCAGGAAGATGGTGAGAAACATGTGAAGATGTTTATACAGATGTAGTGATATATATTAATGGGGCTGAAGACAATGACACCAGCGCTACCAGTTCGGTGTCTCTTACTCATGGCCCGGGAACTCAATTATATCAGCCCAGCATGCTCACCATTACATCTGAAAGAATAAAAGAATAATTGTTATTGGTAATTTTTCAAGCTATTTTTATTGCCACACTGTAAAATACAAGACAACGGCTTCTTAAAGGACAAGAATCCCTTTGTTTCCCCATATATTTAAAGGAGCCTGGAGTTTTATATATGTTCATTGTTTATTTTTCAATCCAGTTTCCCGATTTAAAACTACAGACATTTGGTTTGGTGTGTTCTGGATCTTTTTCTGTTTGTGCAATCAGTGCAGAATCTTTGTGTTTTATTTCCATCTGCTGGTCAAACTGAAGCACTGACACATCTTCTGCCATCTATTTGTTATACTCAATGATTAACCTTTCCTTTAATTGTTTTTCTCATCCCTTGATCCTTCCCTCATGTTCTCAACCCTCCTCAGAGGTCCAGAGTCTTGGACTTTTTCTCTAAGTCTTGCTTTTCAGTTTGTTTCAAGTTTTCAGTTTGGAGAAGAAAGGTAAACATGGAATAAACATGTCTGTAGTACATTAGATTAGATAAAATTAAAGTAGGGCAGCATCTCAGTTACACCCAAACAGGCTTTTTACCCTAACAGTCGACAAAGTCTTAATTTGACCCTTCCAGGCTAGATTAGACCCCAACGCTGCTGGACTAGATTTAACTGTATCAAAACTCAATTTGTAGACCAAACTGTTAATTTCTGCCTCTTTTCTTTGTCAGTCCACAACATCCTCAGAGGAAGATGAGATGTTCATCTTGAACAACAGGCGACCCCTGACACCACTGGTCCTGAATCCCGTCCATCTCACCTCCTGTTGGGATGATGATGAGCAAACATATGAGCCAAAAGTCGAAATGGATGTGGAACCGCACCCTCGACTTCCAACGCCGGAGGAGAGGATGAGGCAGCAGGCCGAAGCAGTCGCAGCAGATATTGTTCCTATTAATGTAACAGGTACAGCTGGACTCAGATCCAGATTCTGTTTGTAAGGACTCTGAACTTACTATTGAAACTCATCTAAAACTTTAAATTTATTTCTGCCATATTGTCTACACTGAATTTCTACTTGCATCTGGTTTCAAAAATAGACTGAGACATAAACTCGAGATTTACCTTTAAAGTTTTCTCAGGCTCAAATCAGTTTGGTCTTCATAGGGAGTTCTTCTAATTTAGAGCAGACCAGAAAGCTTTTGTCATCTTGATTCATGCCTTAAATCTTAAAATCTGGAGTCTGGATAGGACTCAGATTTGAAATATAAGTTAGAGTAATCTAATGAGACCCAAATCCAACTTGAAGTTCTTCTTAGGCTTGAGGCTTTACTTCAATTTAACTCACCCAAATCTCGGGACTTGGTAAATTACCTTTAGCCTTTTCAGAATTAACTCTGGACCAGGAGTTGAAATCGGAGGTACATTGCCTCCATTTTCATCTGGATTCTGCTCTCACAGAAACTTGATTAACTTTTGTTAAATAACTGTATAACTATCCACTATAGCTTTAGATCTTACTTGGAACTGAGATTTTTTCTTTCAACAGAAGCTTATCTTGAAGACCTTAAAGGGACATATGATTTTATCAGGACTCTAAGTAACTAACGGGAAACATCAGAGTTAGGATATGATGTGAGGTTTAAGTAAACTACAGCAGGACTCATAGGCTAAACTTGGATTCGGAGTAGCGACTTGGTTTCTCATGTCTTGACTGTTACCTTTTTGTATGTGTTCACACTTAAGGTGAGAGTTTTGATCGCCAAGCCAGTTTTCGAAGAACACTTTCCAATGCTGACTCACTAAACCGACGACCCCGGAAATTGAGCCGACGCAAGACAGTTACTGGGATACCAGATAATGCCCTCCCGAAGTCACCATCTATCTCTGACGTTCTTCCTGGTCAGTTCTCCACTGTGGGTCGACCTGCATCTGAATGTACCTCTCCTCATCAGCAGAGGAACATGGAGGTGGAGGAAAAGGGAGATCTAAGAAAAGAGGAGCAGCTGTCAACAAGGAGAATCCGAGCCCCTAAAGGAGAGGGAATGTCCAGCCTCATGGCCTCCCTTACCTCTTCCCCACATATTGGTTGCCATTCCGGCTCCTGCTGCTCACCATCCTTGGAGAGCCACACCCTCCCCCGTCCAGCAACCAACTCCTCCCTGAACTCCGAGGCCAGCTGTAACAGTGTATCCTGCAGGACTCTCAGCACCTCCTCATCTTGCTACCAGGTAAATTAATCAGAAGTTATTATTACACTAATAAAGTCAAAGCATAAATTGAAGGAGTTTCCAGATGACTGGCATGCTAATGTCAGCCAACATAGGCCAGAGGGAAGACAGTTCAGAACTTGTGGGGCGACCGTGGCTCAGGGGGTTGGGAAGCGTATCTGTAACCGGAAGGTCGCCGGTTTGATCCCCGGGCTCTCTGTCCTGGTCGTTGTGTCCTTGGGCAAGACACTTTACCCTACCGCCTACTGGTGTTGGCCAGAGGGGCCGATGGCACGATATGGCAGCCTTGCTTCTGTCAGTCTGCCCCAGGGCAGCTGTGGCTACAACTGTAGCTGCTTCCACCAGTGTGTGAGAGTGAATGAATAGTGGCATTGAAAAGCGCTATATAAATCCAATCCATTATTATTAGACTCCAAACATGTCCCCAATGAACAGAATGTCCTACAGATGCTGAGAGTATGTCATGGGCTCAGAGCCTTTCATTTGTTGACCTTTCTAAATTTTTAAGTTACTGTTGCTCACTGTCGGCTGGGTAGAAGAGAAATATCAAAGCAATAGAAGAGCATCAGATACTTTGGATTTTCACACTAAATTTACTATACTGGCTTTTTGAGGAAACCAAGTTATGCTAAATTAGAAATGCCTGGAGCACATTTTAAATCATTTTCTCTTTTTTATTCCTGTTTTCTTTTCCAGTCACAGGATCTACAGGGATTCCCCAGTGATCTTCACCCTCTGCTGCCCTTTGATCCCACTGCCAGAGTAATGCCACAGTCTCCTTCCTCCTCCTTTAATTCCGTTCCCTCCTCACCTATTATATCATCTGTCCCTGCAACCTCTAGTTGTGCCCTACAATCAGAGTGGGCTTCCCCCAGTGATAAGCCCAATAATGAGGCCCTTTCTTCCCCCGGCTCTCTTCCTTCTTCCCCTATCACTGATTCAGAGACTCAGTTTCATTACCCAGCAGAGGATGACCTGACAACCACAAAGCAGGACACCCAGTGTTTCTCAGATGGTTGTTCCTTGACTGGAGAGAGATGGAGCTACAAAACCCTCTCTCCAACCTCCAGTGTCCACAGTGGAATTTCCCAGGAAATGAGATGTGTTTCTGATGAAGGTTGGAACTTCGATCCACTTCTCTCTTCTGGTCGGTCCTCCCCTTCTTGCACTGATAGCAGCTCCTTGCGTTCAGTGAAGATGTCCTCTCCCTCGCTAAACCGTGAGAAAAGGAAGTCAAGCACATCCTCCTGCTACTCTCGTTCTGTCACCCGCAGCATCTCCCTTCGCAAGTCCAAGCGTCCACCTCCTCCACCATTGCGTTCTGATTCATTGAGGCGACGGCCAGGTCGTAGCAAATCTTCGCGTTCTTCTTTTAGTCCCAAGGTGGAGCGCGGTCCCCGCCTGGAACGCACCATGCAGCACACACCTGCGTCATCTCCCCAGAACTTTCAGGATCCCTGGGTGCCCCGAAGTAGCACCAAAAGACGCCAAAGTGGGCTTAACTGTGGTACAGTTTCAACCTTTGAGCCTCTAAACCCAGACTGCCAGGCATCAACCTCTTCTGACTCTCCTCCTTCCAACCTCGAACCAACTCACCTCAGCCCTGGGTCTCCAGGTTCAGAGGAGGAAGGTCTGACTTTTACTCTCAATCACCAACCTCCAGCTTCCTCTTCTGTGCCTGGGCTTCAGCGACTTGCTTCGCCCTCCAGTGGGTACTCTAGTCAGTCTAACACTCCAACTCCTGGCACGCCAGTGTCTTCACCCCTCATCCCATCCTCCCCTCTCACAACAAGTCCTGGAGCTTTCTCCCTCCCCCCAACCTCACCTTTCTCCTCTTCCTGCTTTACCTCCTTCCCCCTCTCCCCTGTCGCATCCTCCCTGCCTAGGACAAGGTCTCGAGGTGAAGGCAGACCAAAGCCACCAGTGCCAGAGAGGAAGTCTTCACTTTTCTCATCCCTTTCATCCTCATTTTCTTCAACCTCTTCCCTCTCCTCCTGCACCTCCTCAGACTCCTCTGCCAAACATATTAATCTTCCTGCCCCACCACCTCGGCCTCCTCTTCTCGAGTCTTCTTTGCTTTCACTTTCCTGCTCTCCCATTCATGAAACTCTTCCTCCTCCCCCTCCTCCTCCACTGCAGTCCTGCTCACCTGCTCCTTGTTCTTTCACTAAACTTTCTCTTGTTCCTCTTCCTTCACCATCATCCCTTCCTCTGCCCCCTCCACCGCCTCCTCTCCCACCATTATCCCTTGCCAGGCCTTCTCCTCTACCTCCCTTCTCCCGGCCTCCTCCTCCCCCCTACTCCTACGCTGTCAGGCAGACTTCCCATCATGATCTGGTATTTACAGTGTCATCTTCCACCAACTTCCCTCCTCCCCCAACTTCTCCCCCTCCTCCCCCATGTTCAGAACTCCCAGACATGCCAATTGCTGACCTCCCTCCACCACCACCACCTCCCCCTCTCCCTCCTTTGTCTACTGTCCCCACACCTTTTGCCTCTGTCTTCTCCCGACCAAGCCCAGACGCGTTTCCACACAAATATGGCAAAGCACACCCCTGCCCTCTGGTAACTGCTCAAGCTCTGCAGGACGTCAAACTCCGCTCTATTAAGAACCAGGAAGTCCTGCCAGCCAATGGTACATCTACTGATGATGGCGCTTTGTTGTCTGTTGGTAACCATGGTAACCAGGATCTACCAATCAAAGAAGCTCAACATTACTTGGCTGACTTGACTAAAGGAAACCTTGTTTCCAACACCAGTGTTAACCTAGCGGAACAAGGATCAGAAAACGATATCTGTTATGTTGCAAACAATGACAATAATACAGCTAGTGCATCCTTGGATAATGCTAGCCTTCACAGCCCAGACAATGCTGAAATGAAACAACCTAAACATGAATCAGATGATGATTTCTTCAAACAAACAAAAACAGAGCTTTTGGCAGATGAATCAGATTTCAACAATCTTCAAAGCTCACAAAGCATTATTCATAACACTGCTAGCAAGAGAAGTCTTGGGCTTCAGCTGAGGAATGGTGGCACTCCTCAATGCAGACAGTCCAGTGAACAGAAAAAGAAAGATTCAGACATGTATGCTACACTAGCTAACAATGAAATCTCCAGTTCTGAGAGTCCATGGGTGAAAATGTCTTATGAAACTGACAATAACCATGTCAGCACAATAAGTCAACCTACGTCTTTCCAACGAAACATTATAGGAACAGTGCTAACAGATGCTAAGCTCAAAGAACTTGCAGAGATTCAAAGAGAATGCAGAAAAATGCTGTTAGAGAGCAAAGAGGAAGTCGAGCAAAATGACAAGAAAAAATCACAAATGCAGTCACTCTGTGCTGCTGATGGAGATTTGAAGAATGTTGATATTAAACACTGTAACAGGGACTTGAAGCCAAGTAGCCCAAGAAAGATCTGCTCTCCAGAGAAGCCAGTTCCACCAAAGAAGCCTGATCTTTGCATTCTGGGTCTCACAACATCCCCCAACGCCACACGAGAACTCAATGTGGTGAGGAGCAATGGACAAAGTACAGCATTTTCTCCAGGGTTCAACAGCCAGTCACAGTTTCCTGATGATTCTTTCTGCACACCTTTACACAAACATGTGATCCATAGTCCCCCTTCACCAAAGCACTTGGTGTCCACCAGTGATAACTCAGTGACACCTGTATACCCAATTAACACAACATCTGCCAATATCACCATGCACTCACCTGCCAGCTCCCCTCAACGGACAAAAACACCAATTTTGCACAAGAGACCAGATCTCTCACTGACCTCACCCAAAACAACCAAACCACTCTTTCCATCTAAAATTACAGGAGGGGCTTCCATGGGGACCTCTGGGACTGGAGGTGCTTCACAGAGTCTGTGCATCACAGCTAGCAGTAGCACCTTGAAAACCATAGGCACCGGGACCACAATGGCTCGAAACACTTTGAATGAAACCTTGGATACCTTAAAGACCAACTACTCCCTAGGAGCCATGGAAATGTATAGAACCTGCGCCTCCTCAAGGATCATGGGAATGGCTACCCGTAGCACATTAGGGAACTCAAAGGGCCAAGGAACTACTTCCACATGGACTGAGGGCACCCAAACTGAAGTAACACACCCCAGTTGTGGTGATATCAAAACAAAACTTTATCAAGATGATACATCATTTCAGAGGAGAATGATGAGGTCATCACTAGCTGAAGATGAAGAGGAAGATATTAAGGAAAGTTTGGAAGAGAGAAGGATTAACATGGCAAGGATGATGATGATGTCATCCACCACAAAGAAAAAAGACAAAGGAAGGAAAAAGAAGAAGAAAAGGCCAGGCAGGCAGCTGCTAATGATCTCAGCAAAAATGGAACCCTCCCCATCATCTTCATCATCCTCATCATCCTCATCATCCTCTTCATCCTCATCTGGAGATGAGAGAGATGTAAGAAAAGACAGGACAATCCAAATAAGCCAGAAGATGAAAGTTACTAAAGTTTGGGACCAAGACACAAGTGACTCTGAAAGCTCCTTCAGTTTGATTGGTCAGAGCAGGTACTCTCTCAGCAGCGTACTGTCCACTGACAGCCTGCGGGGTGAACTGTCACTACCAGATCTTCTCATACAAGAGCCAGGTGAAAAACAAGACGAGCCCGGAGCTCTGAGAGGAGGAGAAAAATCAAAGGAGGCTAGCAGTCCCCAGGATGGTAAGTTCTATCAAGACCACAGATCCTGCTTCTTAACCTATCCAATTCAGATTGTGGTGAGCCTATTATGCATTATAGCAGCTAATATTTATAGATCCCTGTTTATTGTTCACCAAATGCTCAAATATATAATTTATGGAGTCCTTGGTGAAACTAAGTAAGCATTTTCTGTATTAGCTGTCCCCAGTATCTGCCTTAGTAGTCATTCAGTAAATGTAGGCAGAGCTTTTGTTTGTGCAGGTGTGAAGCAAAGTGGGCCAAGTTTCCTGCCCAAACAAGCTGTGAGAGTAGACAAAAATATGCAGATAAGGTACAGCATGTGGTTCAGTCAGACTACAGCTCAATAGGAACTTACATACATAGGAACTTATATACCGCAGTATCATGTCTGTGAATGTCATCTTCGGAGCATACAGGTATCTTTAATAATTATTATTGGAAAATAAATAATAAATAAATAATTATTCTTGCTCTTGTATTCAGTCTGCCCCAGGGCAGCTGTGGCTACAACTGTAGCTTGCCTCCACCAGTGTGTGAATGTGAGAGTGAATGGATAATGGAATTGTACAGTGCTTTGAGGTTCTCGAAAAGCGCTATATAAATGCAATCCATTATTATTATTGTATTCTTCATCATTTCAATTTCAGTTCAACTGAACTGTTAAATGAACAATTGAAGTTCAGTTTTTTTTCACTGTCCTTTCCTTCCCAGCTGATGTGTTTGGCAGCATTTCAGCAGATCAGATGTTCATCTCTGGTTGTCCGCGAACCACAGAGGATCTATTCACCATCATTCACAGGTGGGAACACAAAATGTATACTATGCACTTGTTCTGTAAAATCCTTTAAACCACATCCTCACTTGTTGGTTTGAATTCTACCTCTTACTCTATGGAGCAGTGCTGTATGGGAAGGGACAGCATGAATGCCCTGGTAGTTGGGGTTTGTCTACAGGTAAAGCCTTTAATTAGTCACTAAGTGTGTAGTGTCATTATTATTCTCCTATTATACATAGAAACTAGTTCTTCCTTATTCCCTGTTGCCCCAAATAGGAATAAGTTGTAGCTGTCAAAGAATCCAGAGATTTAGTAGTAGTACGTATATAGTGTTTCTCTATTCTAACTGAGCACTCAAATCACTTTTATCCACAAGCCTCAGTGACCCATTCACAAACACATTCATTCAGTACTTTGTTCTATGCCTTCAAGCACACCCATTCACACTCAGATGGATGCATCAAAAGTTATTTGGCATTCAGTATCTTGCCCAAGGATACTTTGGCATGTAGACTGGAGGAGTCAGGGATCATTGGTATTCATGTATACACAATAATTACAGACCGAGAAAGTCAGTTTGGGAATGTAAGCCACTGACAGGAAAATACATCTTTCCTGCTGGGGAGGTAAGGAAACAAAGGTATGATAACATCAAGCAGTACGACACACAGTAGAGGGTACAAAACTATCTCCAGACATTGTCTGGTTCTCAAAGCCACAAGTAGGTTCAAACCTCCCGACAGATACCAAGATAATGTAGTCAAAAACATAATCACTGGTAAACTCGCAACCTGTTCTTCCTCAGACACTAAATGTAAGATATCTACTTCGTCTACTTGTTCTTTGATCCCCCAGCTAATTAGCTTCTCCTATACTTGAGAAACAAAAGTGCTTCAATCCAAGTTCCCTTCCATTCCTGTCATGTCATTGTTTATGTATATATTAAACATATTCTTAGGAACCTATGTCTTTGTTGTCTATTAGATTTTTTCAGATTTCTAGAAGTTGCCTCTTGATGTTAACTAGAAACTTTTAAAATAGAGCAACTCTCTTGTGGCCATGTAATTCAGTGCATGTAGCTTCTAAATATACAGTTACTATTGTTCACTGTTTTCTGTCACATTTCTGTCAGGTCCAAGAGGAAGATGCTTGGAAGAAGGGATCTAGAAGAAGACAAACATCGTGTCTCGAGCTCCTCCTCCTCCCCCTCCCCTCCGGTGACTCCCACTGACCAGCTAATGCGACCTGCAGCACTCAAGAGTCAAAGGTCAGCAAGAAGTGAGAGCTTTAAGGCTCTCCTGCTGAGGAAGGGCAGTCGACCTGATTCTTCATCTCGAATCTCAGCAGTTGAGCGACTTCGGAAAGTTGTTTCTCCCACTGCAGCAGCTGACCTTCATGGTGCACCACCACCTCACATATCCTCAGACCAAGTAAACTCCACAAGCTCCCTCCAAACTGGAGAAACACATGACATCACTGCCCACCTGACTCTTAATGTTCAGCAACCTCCCAGATCTCCATGTGCTCAGAGCTTCTCCATGATGTTGGAATGGAGGCAACAGGATCTGCCACATAATAACCTCTTCTTCTCATCTTCTTCCTCCTCTCCCTTCTTCTTCCTGTCATCCTCCTCCACGCGCCCTCGCTCCCTCACTCCTCCCTGCTCGGCTAGCCGCCGCTTTGCCGCCCGCTGCCGCCTTGTTGCAGCCCCCATGACTGCAATCTTTGAAGGGGAAGATGAGGAGGAAGATGAAGAGGATTTCAACGAGTCATCGGGAGCTGATGGAGAATCCAGTCTGACACTGGTTGAGACTGCTTGATGGACAAGAAAGCTTGCTGATGTAGCTGGGAGCAGATGGATGTTAGACACCACAGAAAAATTGGATGTGGTCATGAATGTGTGGCAAAGTCTCAGCTGACTCAGCTGAAACTCACCTGAAGCATTTAATTGAATGCACTAAAGCACACTTCCTAATTAACTACATCAGTCACCTTAAAAGGATGTGTACAATATTAATGGTTTCAAGAAAAGAAGCTTGTTGCGATGACATAAGAGTTTCACTCCAACAGTTTCTTCGCTTTTTATTTCCTTTTAAACCACACTAGTTATATGTTTTCCAACGTCAGTGACACTAAGTTTCTTTGACATTGATAAATTCACGTTCTTCTGTCTTCTGCACTTTATATTCGCCAAGTAACCCGTGTTTGTTCTACACATGAGAATTTTGTTTTCTTGAGATCACACTTTAAATATTCTGAAACAGTCAATTTCAGCAACTTCTAGAATATACACATCTGTGTTGAATTGGATATGCTCTGCCGGAGGTGATTCCTCATGTGGATCCAGGAATTGTGTAAAGGACTGACTTTTCACATCATATTCATATCACACACAAATCAAACTGAAATACATGGGAGCTACAATCTTGATGTTGTTAAGAAAATATCAACAACTAGATGAAGATCCATCTAGACCCACATCATGGACGTTGTGGAGGGGAGCCAGTATAATATTAAAAATTAGTTTACACAAAAAAAGTGATCCAAAAACAAATTAATTTATCACATTAAGAAAATGTTCCTGAATTTTGTATTTTGTACTCAAGAAATGTTTTTGTGGTTGCAGTTAATCATGAAGTTAAAAATCATGTAAATCAATTAGGTCAAAATATTGGGGAAAACAAAATCAATTAAGCATTGTTTTTTTTCTTCAATAGAAAAGTAATATCACAATGCTTTCAGCAAAATAAATGTTCGATACTGACGCTTAAATCAGCCGATTCAAACTATTTACTGGGGTTTATTATTATCACCTAAGTAACTGGGCTGGGCTAATGCGTCTCCAAATTTAAGCATTAGTGTAAATGTTGTAATGGCTTGTGTTTTGATGTTTGTTTCAGTATAATCGTTTAAAAGTCTGGTTTTCTACATTATGACCAGCTGCATTCACTGAGACTGTAACTAATAAGGAATAGAGATGGTCCTTTTCTGTAAATATCCCTAAATTCATTTTTCTCTCTTATCATGTTTTCTTGTTTGTATGACTTTTGCAGCTGAATCTTTGTTTCTATTTTGTTAGCATTTTCAGCCTCCAGCTTAATGAGTCATACAACACTTACATTCAGTTTTCACCCTCAAATCAGATTTGTTTATCTCATGGTAGGCATCTATGGAAGCTTGTTTCCATGACTGACAAAAACAAAATACAAACAAAATCTCAAAATTTTGGCTTAATTCCAAGTTCCAAAATTCCAAGTTCATTTTCTCAGAAGTTTGAGTTAGTCAGTGAAACTTTCAATCTTGAGATGATGACCTTAAATTTCGACTTATGGATTGAAAAAATCCTTGTTTTTTTCAGCAATGGATGCAAACTTCCATGGGTAGCAGCTAATACGACTGCAAACTATCAGAAGTAACTTTTTAGGGTGGAGACTTTGTATTTAGAAACATAATCTTATCTTCTCTCTGTGTGGACATAAGAGGTTGAGATTTACTATATTAACCATAAAATGAATGAATTTACTTGGGAAACTGAAATAAATGAGGAAAGCACTGTGAGAAAAGAAGTCTTAGGTTAAAGTGATGATCGGGATGAAATGGAGAACTGAATGTGTAGAAAAGCAGCAAAAAGGTAGAACTGAAAGAAATGGAAATGTATGTAAAAAGGTGAATGTAGAAATGGAAGCAATAAAGGACAAATTGATTTCTGAATCTGTGACTTGTTCTACCATTGTGTAAAGTGTTGTCAGCCCTGTTTTGTTTTTTTTGGGTTTTTTTTTTTTTGGGGGGGGGGTTACCAAAGAAATTTCACACATTATGCCAAATAGCAAAACACTTAATTGTGTCTCTAATAAAACCTCTGTAACTTTGTGAGTATAGGAAAAGTGTCTGTTTTTCCCTTTCTATGATAGACATTTCTGTTTTTTTATGACTAAACCTAAAAACAAATCAAAAAACTGGACAGTCTGGGCCATGATAGCTTTTTCCGTAATTTTACACATGTATTTCATATTAAATCCAGAGAGCTGTGTGGACAGATTCCTATTTTTGTCACAGCAGCTTTTTTTTCACCATGAAGAAAAACAGACACTGACAGAAAGGAGGTTTCACTGGTCTCGCCCGCTTAAGATCAAAGTGGGCTGCATTGTAAGATAAGTTTGACACCCCTGGTTTAAGGTGATTTTTTTTATCACATCTAAAGGGGATTAAAAGATGATTAAGAGTCCTGAAGAAGTTTAAATACTTCTCAGGTGTGTTTAGAGCTTGGTGAACATGTCCAAATATCTCTCAAAGTGGTATCAAATGTAGCTTTTTTGTGTTATAAGTGATTTGTTAGTGGTCTTGCTCCAGATGCCTGTAATGGAGTTTGTTAGAATGTTTTAAAATTTCTTGAAGAAGTCTCAGGATTTATTAACGAAGTCAGTTGAAGATTTCTGAGGGATTCTTGAGGTGTTCCCGATGTTTTTGGATCTGTGATCCTTGTTTGAAAGTTACTTAAAGGAGTTTGGGAGGTTATTTAAGGAAAAGTGTCAACAGGTTCCAAGATGTAGGACACATCTCAGGTTTTAAATAAGGTTTCAAGAGCCAAGGAGTGGTTTTAAGGAGTTATGAAAGAAGTTTTAGGTCTCTGCTTAAACCAAAACATTTTCATCCTAGGGCATCGAATGCTCCAGTTCTGTCAGATGATGTTTGATTCTCGCCATCATTGCCGCTGGCTGTGGGCTGTGGGAATATTGGTTTCTGAGAGATAATGGCACACCTTTAAAAAATGACAAGTCACATGAAGATTGGAGGGTTGGAGGTGTGGTTTGTCAGTAGAGCATAGTTCCCGTCCTTATAGGACCTTTATGCTTGCTTTGCTTTTTTTGTTCCCACTTTCTTTTTTACTTTCACTTGCTGGTAAAGTTTGGGGCTTAAGCCTAAACCTTACCAGATGGTGAAAGGAAGGAAAAGATGGTGACTTGGGGTAGGGCATTACTTAACATATGAAATACGACCCTTATTTGCTGTTTTTTAAATTGACAGTGTGGAGTCATTCACAATCTTAGTTTTTTTATGACCTATGAGTTACAGACCCGTCTCATTATTACTACAACCCAGTGCGTCACTTGGGTTCCCTGCACTTAAATTTGAGATGCTGGAGGCTTTGACAAAAGGGCAAAATTTGATGCCCCAGATCAGGGGTGCTCAATACGTCGATCGCGATCGACCAGTCGATCGCAAAGGTAGTATTGGTAGATCGCATGGCATTAAAAAAATAGATGCCAGCCTATCATCCATCCCGTCACTTGATTGATACAGGGAAGCCAGTCAGATGACAGCAGATTTTTTCTGACGCTTAGGTCGCTGCGCATGCGCAAACAGCGGCGCAAAGTGTAGTAAAACTGACAAGCTAGTCAGCGAGTTAACTCCAATTTTTAGCTCTCGGTTTTTTCTCTTAAACCTGGCCGTCAGCAGCTACTGTCCGGACTATGCATCCCTGGCTGATTCAATTCAGTGCAAGTCATCAGAGTAAACTCAGGTAATGACAAAAAATTTACATAGTTAATTGTGTTGTGAAATATTGGATATTGCGGTTATGCATGTATATACATTGTAGATATAAAGAATCCTCAATATATTTATAAATAAGTATATGTTTTGGATTTTTGTAGTGGGTAGATCATTTTGACTTGGTCATTTTATAAGTAGCTCACATGCGGAAAAAGTGTGAGCACCCCTGCCCCAGATGGTGAGGACAGGCTGCCCTATGCTTTTCTTATGAATCTGAGCTGTTACCAATAGATCACCCACCCTGTCAGATTGTTGTAAATGAGATATGAGAAAGAACAGATAATTTGTTCGTCACAGTGCTAGAAGCTGTGTGTTTTTGCATGGACAAGGTCAGATGCAGCAGCTAGACAAATAAATATCTGTATTATCAGAATGATGCTGCAGCTTTTTTTGTCTTTCCTTGAGGAAAGACAAAAACAGAAAATGAAACGGTTATTACTATTATTACGTTTCTTGCCTCCCTACTTGAAGAAGAAAGACACGAGGCATTTTATTTATTTATTTATTTATTTATTTATTCATTTATTTATTTATTTATTTATTTTTCATCTCCTGGCCCAAGAGCTGGTCGACAGAGCAATTGAGATGAGGGCATATGCTGGTCTGGGGCACGCTGCCCGATGCATGCAGGTTGGTATATAACTATAAAGGTGTAGTTAACTGAAAAACAAATAACTACGAAATAATGAATCACAGTCTGATAAAAATGCATTATTTTTGTTCGGTTCAGGACTTGGAGAGGGCTCGTCAGCACCACCAAAACCAGCTAGAAATTGCTCAAGAACTGCAAGACAGAGCAGCACAGGGCAGAGCCTCATCCAACTTGGGTAGGTTTGATGGAGGGTCATAGAGGGGTCACCTGGCTGGAGGTAATAGGTTTTTTAATTTGGCGTCTGAATCTGGGATTTTGTTGTGGGAAACTAAAATGGTATGCCTTTTTTAGCTTTGGTCATTTTAAATGGCAAATCTATCTTTTACTAACAGTAAAATCAAAGTATGGCAGGTTTGACACACTGTGGTACTCCAGAACCTGTTGACAGCTACTGTGTAACAAAATTAATAAAAAAGTAAACCGTTATTTACTTTAGGTCTTGAGTGGTTCACTCTCTGTGTGTCACGGTCGGGCGGATCACACACAGTAATTCGGCGTGCCCGTGTGGCGTGCTGGCTAGACCCAAGCGCGGCGAAGGCTAGCGGTGGGTTTGGAGCAGACATGCAGTTATTCTAGTAATGATCAGTGCACGAAACGTGGCTTCGGAACTGTCGTTACAGACAGAGAGCGAGCGGAGCCGGGAAGAGAAAAAGGATTGAAAGGGATTGTCACTCACGGTTGCTGAATCAGGCGGAGACTGACGTCGGCAGAGTTTCGGAGCTCCTGACACAAAGAGACTGATGTCTGAGCGGCGAACAGGTGGGTGGCGTCTCTCTTTTAACCCCGGCCCCGTGATCAGCTGATCACAGCCGATCACCGGCTGACAGGAACCCCCCCCGAGGACCGGCACCCGACGGGCCAGGACGGCGGCGACGGAAATCCGAGATGAGGGAAGGATCCAAGATGAAGCGGGACGGCACCCAGGAGCGCTCATCAGGGCCGTAGCCAGCCCAGTCCACCAAATACTGGACCCCCCGGCCCCGGGGACGGGAGTCCAAGATCCGACGGACAGTGTAGACAGGACCCCCATCGACGATCCTGGGCGGGGGCGGGGCCCGGGAGGGGAGCGCCAGTGGGGAAGCGACGTGCCGCTTAAACTGCGAGACGTGGAAAACCGGATGGACCTTAATGGCGGGCGGAAGCCGGAGACGGTAAGCCACGGGGTTGAGCCGGGCAGTGACTTCGTACGGGCCGACGAACCGGGGAGCGAGCTTCTTGGACTCACTGCGCAGCCGTAGGTGCTTTGTGGAGAGCCAGACGCGGTCCCCCGGCCGGAAGGGGTGACCCGGGCGGTGGCGGCGGTGATGCTGCCGGGTGTACAGAGCGTTGGCCCGGGAAATGGCAGCCCGCGCCTTGATCCAGGCCTGGCGACAGCGGCGGACCATCCGTTCAGCAGCCGGCACGTCGACCTCCGCTTCCTGATGGCTGAAGATAGGAGGTTGAAATCCATGACAGACCTCAAAGGGCGAGAGACCGGTGGCGGAAGAGATGTGAAGGTTATGAGACAACTCAGCCCACACCAGGTAACGAGGCCATAGCGACGGTTGGGCGGAGACGAAGCACCGTAAGAAGCGCCCCAACTGTTGATTGGTCCGTTCAACCTGCCCATTGGTCTGAGGGTGATAGCCGGACGAGAGGCTGGGAGACGCTCCAATCAGGCGGCAGAAGGCCTTCCAGAACCTGGCGGTGAACTGTGGCCCCCGATCGGAGACTATGTCCTTGGGGAATCCGTGAAGCCGGACGACATGGTCCAGGAGGAGCTCGGCCGTCCGTTTGGCGGAGGGGAGGCCGGCCAGGGCGACCAGGTGCACCGCCTTAGAAAACCGGTCCACAAAGGTGAGGATGGTGTCAAGACCGTCCACAGATGGGTAACAAAGTCAAGGCCGACATGGGACCAGGGATGTCTCGGCACCGGGAGAGGGTGAAGGTCGCCAGCGGGCGGCTGGGTGGAGGACTTGGCCCGAGCACAGGTGTCACAGGCGGAAACGAAGTCACGGACGTCCCGAGTCATGGAGGGCCACCAGAAGGCACGACGGAGGAGCTGGAGGGTTCTGTCGGGCCCTGGGTGACCAGAGAGCGGGGAGGAGTGAGCCCAGAGCAAGCCCTCCTGACGGCACCGGGATGGCACATAGAGCCTCCCAGCTGGGGTCTCCGGCGGAGGCGGAGGCGGTCAGGGCATCCCGGATAGAGTCCTCCAAGGGCCACCGAAGGGGGGCAGCGAAACAATGAGACGGTAGGATAGGTCCAGGGTCTGACGTGAAGTCGTCCTGGGCGAACTGCCTGGAGAGGGCGTCTGCCTTGGTGTTCTTGGAGCCAGGGCGGTAGGCGAGGTGGAAGTTGTACGGTTCGAAGAATAAGGCCCAACGGGCCTGCCTTGGGTTGAGCTGCTTGGCAGAACGAATATGGATCAAGTTCTGGTGATCAGTCCAGATCAGAAATGGTTCTTTCGCTCCCAGGAGCCAATGCCGCCATTCTTCCAAGGCCCACTTGATGGCCAGGAGTTCCCGGTCGCC